ATGAAAAGTATATTTTGCATGACTCGAGATTGTGATGTAGATATACTCATGCCAATAATGTTGTCACCCCCTTCAATCTTTTAATTGGAGAGGGTGGGGGTGAGGTGGGGGGGGGGGTGGGGCAGGGGGGGACAACCATTATTGGCATGAGTATATTTGCCCAGCATTCTGCCCCGTGCTTGCCGACGTGGATCGTTTCATACAGTAGGTTTATCTGGTCCAAATCGATTATTTACATTCTGCTGTGTCCCGAACAAAGAAATGCTATTACCCTGAACGCGGTCGTGTTCCCTCTTATGCTACGGTATATTAAAACGGTTGATTTTATATAATGCATAATGCTTACTGTGCAGTTTTGATTTAAGAGAACTTGAACTTGGAGAGGACAGGGTGACTAAGAGGAGAGCGGAAGATCGGTGTTCCACACCCGGTAACGTCATACATAAGGACTGTTAAAGATGGTATTTGTTATTACCGTGCCTGGCGTCTGTGTTTGAGGGAATAATAGAGTATCTCACCTGAGTGTCTTTTCATATCAAATATATCATCACGAGTTGATAAAGTTACAAATATCCGAGGCTTGCCAAGAATGTTTTTACTTTTATCAACGAATGTTGATATATTTGATATCCGAAGACACGAGGGTGAGATTCTATTCATCATAAAAAATCACTCTTCATTAGTTTTCAATGAAAACTGTACATCTCTGACGTCTGAACACGGTTCTGCCATTCGACTTGCAGTGCAACGACGTCAGCATTGTGACGTCGTCAAGTTCATGACGCCATAGCATTGTCAGGGCACTGTGCAAAATCTACTGTCAAAATGATGTCTCCTTGGAGATATCGTTTGATCTCACACAAGCAATATCTCCTGTGGAACACAGTTTTGGAGGACAAAACTGAGATCGTCTTCGATCATACAATGTCACTGGTTTGGTATGCACGTTAATCACGCTGTGTCACTAGTCTGTCTCAACTCTCTTCATTCACGCATATGTCTCGATCATTTTAAAGTTTTGAAAATTACTGCCTGTAATTGATGCTGTGGTGAGTCATTTTGAACGAAATTATTTTAAAAACCAAGTTCATTATTATTCAAAGTAAAATTTATTTATACACCTGATTTGATTTTTGTTGGTGTTTTGTTTTGTTTATTCGTCTGTTTTGGGAAGGTTGTGTTTATTTGTTGTTGTTTTGTTTCGTATTATTATTGTTTTTGTTTTGTTTTGGGGGGTTTTATGTTTATTTTATGGGCGGGGGTGTCTATGCACGTTTACTACTCCTCATAAGGGTTCAGCGATTGATCTCAGCCGTCAAATCCCACCAGCAGCGTTATTTGGTAACTTAGGTGAGGTGAGGTGAAATTGGGTTTAACGTCTATTTGAGAATATTTAGATCATTTGACGACGTGCATGCGTGTGTATGTGTACGTGCGGCTGCTTGTACTAGCTCAGACTGAAGCTGGTTTTATAGTGCTAGCCCACTGAGATACCATGCCGCAGTGAAGCAGGAATACCCCACTCAGACACAGTATACTGACTCCGAGCCGACCAGTCCTTGTTGTACCCACACGGAGACCAACAAGTACCATATTTTAACGTCTTTTGGTATGACGCGGTCGGGGATCGAACCCGCGACCTTCCGCTCTCCGGGCGGATGCTCTAACCACTACACCACGGAGGCGGTCTGATAACTTAGGGACTATATGAACAGAGTGAAAGGTCAGAGTGAAAGGTGCCTTACGCGACTGGGCGATGGGGTATCCAAGTGGTTAAAGCGTTCGCTCGACACGCCGAAGACCCGGGTTCGATTCCCCACATGGGTACAATGTGTGAAGCCCAGGTCTGGTGTCCCCTTCCTCCCCATCCAACCATCCATGCCATCGTCGTCTGATGAAATACAATATAAACTGCTAATAAATACGAGTAAACGTTAGGGCATTTTACGATAATGATGGTTTTTAAAAAGGAGGCTTTCGCTAATTGACAGCCCTACGTTTCCTTCTCCAAATGAGCCTTCTGAGAAAGAGTAATCCCAAATCATAAATATGTTACACGAGCCTCATTAACGGTACGGGGAGCTAACTCCTGGGGAATAATTTGTCATCTGTCAGCTGATTGCCATTTGTCTATGAGCCTGATCGATTATGTCCTTTTGTCAGATATACGTTCAGTCTGATAGGTGCTCATTGTCGTCGCTAGATGGCGCAGTGAAATTGACAAATGTGTAGGAACCTCGTGACAACTCATTCGAGGAGGCTGTGTTCGGGCGCTCAGTTTTTACATTTGGTTCACAATCATAAACGCATAAAATGTCCATAAAGTTCACAGCTTCCCCTAAAAAACATTTGATAACTATATCTGTGGTTTATGACCAATGTTGATATTATCATTTGATCGGATAGTATCATCTGACTCTGGACTTTCTTTTCTAAAGAGCTTTGAGCGTGCATTGATGTGTGGAAAAGCGCTATACAAATGGAACTATTATTATTATTATCTGTTGTTTGATATTCTGGGTACTTGCTCACAATGTTCATCGGGGCGGTGGGGTAGCCTAGTGGTTAAAACGTTCACTCGTCACGCCGAAGACCCGGGTTCGATTCCCCATATGGATACAATGTTTGAAGCCCATTTCTGGTGTCCCCCCGCCGTGATGTTGCTTGAATATTGCTAAAAGCGGCGTAAAACTAAACTCACTCACTCATAACGTTCAGTGTTGATCTGTGCGAGGCAGGTAGAACCAAGTAGTGTCACATCAATGTACTTAAGTCATGTTCACAGAATAAGTATAATTAAACTGTTCACATATACGTGGTGTATACTGGTCACACAAGTGTTTTCACTTCAGCAAATCTCACCACATACCTACACAAGTATATGTGTAATGTATGAAAATGACCAGGAAGGAAGTCAATTTACAGTTTCACTCTCACAGAGGGGTCAGAGCTAACTGGAATCAAAGCTGGAAGTAACTAACGCTTAGGTCAACATCTGTTCACTTATAAAGTAACTATATTTGGGTTGTCTAAGGGAAAACATCAGACATCCGGATATCTTTATCCCAATCAGCCTCACACCCAACTTCGGTAGTGAGTCAGTCGATGACCTCATTCATGGACGGTCATGTAATGTATTCAGACTTAATCCTCATCACTCCTCATCGCGCCACGCCACGCCACGCCACGCCACACAGGCTAAACTAGACCCGACCACGCCACGCCACGCCACGCCACGCCACGCCACGCCACGCCAAGCCACACAGGCTAAACTAGACCGGACCACGCTACGCCACGCCACGCCACGCCACGCCACGCCACGCCACGCGCTACACAGGCTAAACTAGACCCGACCACGCCACGCTACCTGCTCCACCAGATCCGGGCCATACCCGACCGCCTCCGTGGTGTAGTGGTTAGAGCGTCCGCCCGGAGAGCGGAAGGTCGCGGGTTCGATCCCCAACCGCGTCATACCAAAAGACGTTAAAATATGGTACTTGTTGGTCCCTGCCTGGCGCTCGGCATTAATGGGTACAACAAGGACTGGTCGGCTCGGAGTCAGTATAATGTGTCTGAGTGGGGTATTCATGCTTCACTGCGGCATGGCATCTCAGTGGGCTAGCACAATAAAACCAGCTTTAGTCTGGGCTAGTACAAGCAGCCGCACATACACATACACACGCATGCACGTCGTCATATGATCGAAATATTCTCAAGCACGACGTTAAACCCAATTTCACCTCACCTCACCGGGCAATACCCGACAACATCACACCACACCTGACCATGCCCAGGCCAAACATTCATCCCGAAACCATGACACACAGCTTCCCGACAAACACGGGTCTTTGAAATCATACCCCGAACGCAACCGAAATCGAGCAGACGATGTGAAAGAATTTGTCGTCTGCTCGTAAAGGTCAGAAGCGTGTCTCCCTACTTGAGTGGAATGGGGCGGTCGTTGCAGTTACCGGAGCAGGGATGGGACAGGCGTTTATGATGCCCATGATGCCGTCCGACACTCTACAGTTGACACAACGCGGGGCATAACACTCGTAAGCCACCAGGAGCTCCTTTCACCACTTACAAAACATGCAGAAAGAATTGCTGTACAGCGAGTTGCTGATGTATAACGCAGATATACATGACGACTTACTACGTGGTTTAAGTCTTATACCCAAGACGGAAGTTCTCGTCAGGAAACATACATAGGTCAAACTGACATTTCTCCACCAAAGGCGAAAACAAAAAACACTTGAAACTTCAAAGAATGCAACCGGAATGAAAACAACGACTGTTCCAACGCCTTTTTTGAATGTGCAAGTGGTGACATTTTGCCTAATAGCAAACTATGTAGGACTCTTAGGAAACGTTTAACATTTTCCCCGAGAAAAGAATGCATTCTCAGGCTTATTGACTCATCGTTCGTCAATGAGCCAAGTAGCACAGATTTCGAAATCGTCGCTTAAGCCATTAGCAGATACGTAGCATCCATTGGTAGGGCTTCAGATATCTGTAGGTCCGAGCACGAGACCTTTGTGAAAAGGTCACCGGTCATTTCTGACCAAGAGCAAGACAGTGACACCCTGTTAATCCGGACTGATTCTAGACTGATTCTAGTAATGTCAAGAATAACAATTTTCCAAATTCTGAGTCTTGTATAGGTGTGTTAATTAATTTATTACACACTAAAGTACCACGAAATCGTCCATAATGATGGTGTTTCTAGATTCAGGGGGTCCACAATATTTCACAATATCCGATACGTGTTCACTTTGTGTAGTTATATATATACTATTCCAAAAAAGAAACGCATACGCTGTGCAGTGGTGACTCGAGGTATGCCTGAACGGGGACGGCCATTTGTTATACCTGTTTGGTTGTAACGAGCTGCTCAGACTAACATTCAGACGCCTGGTAACAGAAAATTGGTAATCTCCAGCGTTATTCTTTCAATGGCGATGTTCCGTGTCGCAGCGTCAAGACGTGGCGTAGTGATTTGACCTTGAACTTCCTTCAAAACGAATGCCGATTTCCAAAGGTAATCAGGATTTTTTTATAGCCATACAGTGCATGCTCTTTGCTGCACAATTTCAACTGGAAGGTGATTTCTGTTGCGTTGTGGCGATGCCTTTTTAATTCTTGTAAGAAATCTCATCAAAATCAACATTTTCAGGTAAAGTCGATTTTACATTTGTGCAATTGTGTAAAATCGTGCGATTGTTTGAACACAATAGGTAATTAATAGATTTTTTTAAAATACAAAACGTCTATGCGTTTCTTTTTTGGATAGTATATTAGTATACAATCGAATCTTAACTTCCTGCCGTTTAGCTCTGTGAACTATAATCAAAAGCCCCCGTTCATAGCAGCACAATTCTTGCATGAGGAAATAATGGCAGGATATGTTGAGTGCTTTCAGTCCGAACAATCAATTTGCATTACGTATAAATTTACTTCCTGTTTCGGGAATCTTTCTGACAGTGATTAGTTTGCCGATATCTTAAGATTAATTTGTGACGATATTAGATCAGTCAACATACCGGTTAATCATGAATACATTTCTTTATACGTTCTATTTAAATGGCTTCGTTAAGAAAAGTATCGTACGTCCCTATCTCCCCGAAACAATACTATTTAGATATCAAACATCGCGATCTTTCGTTGAAATATGCAGACTAACATTTCTTAGGTGCATGTCGGCACAGAATGCAGACTATGTTGGTTAAATAATCATTTCCATCTAAAAAGACACAGATGGGCTGTGGTGGCATATGGCGCAAGGTATCCCTATCAACAGTTATAGCAAATGAAAGGATACACTCCCCCCTTGAGAATATCACACGGGTCACTTTGACCTCAGGTTTGCTTGAAGGATATGGCCGACGATTGCCTCATTTAAGGAAGTTCATGTCATACCTATGGCATACCATGTGATGTTGATATGTAAGCTAATACGTAAGTTCAACCGAAAAGTCAAAGTCAAGTTTCCAGTTTCAAATAACGAGGATAAAACGAAGGAGCCTTGTCGTGTCATTTTGCGTCCAAGGTTTGTTACTTGAGGTTAGGCTTACAACAAATAGAAACCTATCTCGAGATTGTCCAAAACTAACGTTTAATTATATCGGCCATATTAACAAATTTGCAGGTCAGACTTACGGTAATAACCAACGAATCGATTTATTATTGTCGTGAAGTACCTGACAAATCATTATTCTAGAACATATGCTTGCAACACACCTATATCTATAATATCCTGACATGCGATACTAACTAAGGGAACACGTTGTTGTGAAGTTTGCAGCAGTTGAACTGACAGAACAGTATTTGATGTCTCTACGTAACAAACATGTCTTTATTCTGTATGCATCGACGTACAAATGGGATATCATGTCAAGCACATAATTCATGTTATCCACCCCTTATTAATTTATATCAATATAACATATACACCCCTTTGAAAGCCTGGGTCTCACAGTAAGGTCAACATCACGGTTGACTGGCTCTAAGAAATGTTTCACACTAGGATACGCCCATGTACTTTCTCTCAATGCCTGGACTGTTTCCAATCCGTCCATGTGAATAAAATTCTCGTGATTCTCCACATCAAAGTGGATTTATTAATGTGAACGCCTACTTGTAATAAACTTACTTATGTCGATACCACAAAGGAGTCAACAAAGCGATTGCTTAAACCTTCTCCGAGACATGCAAGGAATGCTGATTTAGCATTGAGGTGTGTTTGCTGGGGTTGCTTAGTTTATTGTGTTTTTAACATGTGTTCATGGTTCGCGATTTGAAGGTTATGATATTCGCTAGTTGTCGCTTGTTTACATGCATTATTCTCTGTACTTGCATATTTGTATGACAGATCTACACCTTAAAACAACAACATTTACGGTTCAGTGAACTAGATTTACTGCAAATCAGTTGTTTCAAGGCTGCACTGAAAACAATGCCGAGCCCAAGGATGTATAGTAATTCTATCCTTCGAAGAGACAGTGGACTGTTCCATTATCTAGATAAGCGGACAGTCAAAAGGGCCCAAGTCTGTTATTTATTATTCTTTTAGCAATTATCATTTAAACTATTAATCTTTACCTTAGAAAGGGATACGGAAGCGAAAAGTATATTATCGACACAACCTTAACCAAGCCCCGGCCTGTCGTATATGTTCAGATAAGCGGACAGAACATCTAAGGACCCCAGACTGTTATTTATTATTTTCTAGAAATTATCATTTAAACTAGTAATTTTACCTTAGAGACTTGTGCAAGTCTAATCTACAACAAACATGCTTGCTAGTCAGCTGGTGGCTGTACGGCGCCAGTTGCATAGAACACTATAGCAACAATACCACACTCTACATATGCACAGTGAAAGAGCAAGGGAAATGTCACAGTAAATATCACAGATCCGATACATAACACACTGCCCAGGTAGAAGTACAACAAAACTAGACAAATCATACTCGACATACAGTTGTGAAACAGACCATTATATATATATACAAAACACTTAAATCAGGTTCTCGCTAACGTTGATATATAGGTCTTTCTTATATATGAAGAAACTTTTGTGTTGCAAAGTACACACAGACAAGCAAATACAATGTATGTTTGACAGTTAATCTTTCAGCACAGGGGATATATTTAGAATGTCCGCCCACTCCCCCTTCTCTAGCATACCCATGAAGGTCCGGGTTAGAATGCAACCCTCCCCCCTCCCTTTTTTTTGTCCTAAAAGTTTATTAAATGACCATTGTAACTCGTGAAAAAAATGAAGTGTGCACTCCTCCTGCACTTAGAGTGTGCACCCCACCCCCCTTTCTCAGAAAGCTGTATCCGCCCCCTGATTATTAGACATTGTCGAAAATGTCATCTTTATGCTTTAGTCCAGGTATGTTCGACTGATTCGAAAAGTTAATTATTGCCTACATTGGTGATTCATATTTCTCACACAGTAAAATATATTTTAATTACTGCTTGCAACTCACTGTTTTCATATTGCTGTTGCTAGTATTATCAATAATCATCAACTTCACATGTGTCTTTCTTTCAATATCGACTGTACGCCAGTATATTTCTATATATTTTGATAAGACACGTGGGAATATAAGTTAATTGGACAGAAGTTCACACTACTGTTAGCCGAAAAGTTATCAACACAAACAAGATGTGCTCGTAACTGTAATGATTTCCGTTGCAGAATCTAAAGAGGCATCCCTGTCACGTGACAATGACGTCATCAATGACTAACGCAATCTGTCATTGTTATTGACACAAGGTGTGACAACACACTCACGATGGCTCATCGACTGGGACGTCGTCCTACGCCGCCCATTAGAAGTTGTTGGCCTGATGTAATGCTCTCTCACATCAGCATCATTACACAAGGATGTAGTCCATCATACCATTAACTGTACTTGCCAGACATGATAGGTTCATGGGAATAGTTCCCCTTTTCATAGAAGCAAATTGCTTTATATATCTTGTTTAAGTGGCGTTTAGAAGCTGGTATGATGAAGAGGAACAGGTTTTATGGATTGTCAACTTTTTTTATTGCAATAGACGTGTATGCATCTGTACCGTCGCAGCTATTGCAATAAAGAAGTCGTCAGTTTCCATAACGCCCCTCTTCGTGTCTAGATATGGAATCATCGACAAAAAAGGGATTATCTCGCAACTGATGTCGCCTTAATTCGCCTCTGCTTTGCGCATGCCCACAGACATCATGATTTTTGCCGTTATTCAGCGACGTGAATGCGCGCAGGTACCTATGTGCGTATCTCTCTCTCTCTCTCTCTCTCTCTCTCTCTCTCTCTCTCTCTCTCTCTCTCTCTCTCTCTCTCTCTCTCTCTCTCTCTCTCTCTCTCTCTCTCTCTCTCTCTCTCTCTCTCTCTCTCTCTCTCTCTCTCTCTCTCTCTCTCTCTCTCTCTCTCTCCTTCACGTCGTGTATGCAAAGTGTACAGTCTCAATGTCCCTGTGACGCCCATCTCCCAGGGATGATTACCTTAATGTACGTGGCCATCTGTCTGTAATTAAGGACTATCATCTGAGTTAATTAGACTGTGCTCAAAGTAAGATAATTAGATTGTGATCAACGCAAGAATTCTAGACAGCACTTACTGACACGCATCTTCTTGAGAAATACTCATCATGTTAAAATGTCATGTTAGGCCTAAATATATTAGATTATTTGTTATTTGATAGATTTGTCAAAGATGTGATTGTTTATTAAAAATCAACGTGACAGCAGGATTCAACTGGATAATGGTATTCGTTTCAGGTATGAATAAAGCATCATCTGACGGAATATCAGTTTTTTACGCTTATAATGTTTTTATTTTATTTTTTTATTTTATCAGATTTAAAGTGAGTTTGGCTGACAACCCGAGAATCATTCTTGAGTGAACATGGGATTCGAACCCCCGATAAGCATATTCTGGCATCGCAAAGGGAAGTGACTCTACACATTGCTGCACTTCGACTAGACCATCAATGAAGCCTATATATATATTCGGGGGAAAACAAAGAAGCCTTCGTATTATGATAATGAATGTCACAAACATTAAGTTTGCAGTTAAGCTTACGCAACCTCTCAATCCAACATCATGACTGACCCGTACCACTTTGAATGTTCTCAAACTCACACTTCATATACGAACTGCCGTACTGTTCAACAGTGTTCTTTGCAATGTAAGAACCATTTTAGTGTTGTGGTTTCAATAACGCAAGGATACTAGCCATACTTCTCCAAGAAAAGGGTGGTGGGGTAGCCTAGTGGCTAAAGTGTTCGCTCGTCACGCCGAAGACCCGGGTTCGATTCCCCACATGGGTACAACGTGTGAAGCCCATTTCTAGTGTCCAACGCCGTGATATTGCTGGAATATTGCAACCAGCGGCCTTACTAACCCACTCACTCTCCAAAAAAATGGTACAAATGTAATTTGTGGCGATCAGATCCAATGAATTCCCATCTACCCATCCGAGTTGCGTCCCTCTACAGCCGCTCCCAACCCTATCTCCACCTATACAGCAAAGGACACTCCACCTTATATCTGATAATTATTTCTCGTTGAACCCAGCTGATTCCTCTAATATTTAGTTTAGTGAAACAATTTCATAACGTCATTGTTGTAGTTAACCATACGAAACTCCCAGCATTCCAGAATTACGTTGTGCAATCAGGACTTCCCCATTTCCTCAGTCGCAGAGCACATCCTCATTACCAGGAAACAAGAGACCTTATTAGTATGAAGCCATGTGGTGGGAAAGTATTCCTTGTGTCCCAGACTACTAGACTAACAACTAGTCTCTGAAATGAACATATTTTACAGAAAAAAAAAAAATGAACGATGATAACAATGAAGAATAATGACAATTATTATGGATATACAACTTCTTTTATTTATATCCATAATAATTGTCATTATTCTTCATCAACTCAACATCTAAAATGCCTATCAAAGAAGATGATAACGGTGTAAGAATCTTCACCGAAACGTAGCTCTTTGCAATTAATAAGAAGTTGTCATCCATAAAGTTGTATGCTTCATTTTTGAGTCACCAACTTCTAGAATGCCCATCAAACAATTAGAAAAACAAGTTCATAATAAAAATAAATAAATTATAATGAAAGGACCCCTGAGCCTTTCTTCATTTTCAGAAACTGTTTTCAGAAATCTAGACTTAACCACATATTCTAGAACTGCATAGGCTTTCTTGGATATATTTGTTTCAGGGTCTGTATGACAGACTACCAGACTACCAGAGTACCAGCCGTTGTGTGAATGTCTTGAACGCTACTTCAGTTTTATTGATCACAGTATATACAAGTTAATTATCACCTACATCGCCACGGTGACACGCCGCTTTCTACTGCCCGTCACAGGTGTTAGTGATTGAACTGCTACAAATGATGAATGATGTGTTAACTTCCACTTAGGGAATTACATTATTTGCAGTTATAAATACATTAGGGCAGGTGGGTTCCATCTATTCACGCTACTGTACGGCAGCCTCGTGTTCACCGTGTAGCATCAGTAACGGCCTGAGCCGGGATACGACGATACGACGAAAGACAATAAGAGGTGATCTCCCGGTTTCACATAATCGGCACATATGTCAATGGTGGTCTGCAGTGTCTATTAAACCCTGTCGGTTAGTGAGTATGGTTTTAAGCCGCTTTCAGCAATATTTCAGCAATACCTCGGAGGACAACAGAAATGGGCTTCACACATGTGGAGAATCGAACTCGGGTCTTCGGCGTGATGAGCGAACGCTTTAGCCTCTGGGCTACCCCACCGCCCCATTAAACCCTGGGATGAACGCACGGGAGGAGGTACTATCTCCTCATCGGAATTGCATCAGTGTATGAGTTTCAAGTATTCTCAGTAAAATTGAATGTATATCTACATTCACCAGTACCCACCCTTTAGGAAAACATCTGAAGAACAAAATATCAATTTTTGTCAGGCTTAAGAATGCATCTTGTATATTTGGCTTCCATATGTAGGTCACACTGACATAATTTAACTTGCACGTGTCATCAGCTGTTAAAGGAGAATAGCATTGAGTATATTCGATTACATACAATCTAATTTATGATTTCACAATCGCATGGTTGTAGTGGTTTCATATCGGAATATGGCATTGATAGCTTTATGGAGTTGAATGCGACTGGAATAAACGCGGCAGATATTGTACGTATTTGTTATAAACTCACGACAGACCCTCGCTAGCCGCTGGGTCCACTCTGCTTATAATCTCCATGGTAACCCGTTGTCGAGTGTTCTGATGTTGAAAATAGATTATGGGTTTCTTTTATAACATTCTATATCAACATAGTCATGCAGTATGGGAGAGGCGCATGTGTTGTGCTGATTTAACATTTCCATCATGCGTTTGGGGGGCTATACTCTGCAAATTTCAGACAGAATTCCAGCAACGGAGCACCGGCAGTGCCAGCCCCTTGCAGTGGTATTTCTAGTCTGTCTCACAGTCCCTGAACCACATTAATTTCCCTACTTCCAAGCCCTCTCTGCAGTGGTAAAGCCCTAAATAAAGCAAGTCTAGATTTCCTCAGGTTCAGCTGAATCTCTGGTCTCCCTAGGGCTCTTTTTCAATATAAATGGGTTTAATTGTTTGTTACTATCAAAATTATATATATTCAGAGTCTAAGCCTTAGTCTATGGTATTTCATCTCCTGGGCGACCAGGCTCGGGTAAATTGGCAGTCCACATACATTCATGTTCCCTACAACACATTTGTTAGACTGACATTTAGTCCAAGAAATCAGTTTGTGTTATTTTAAAAATATATAATTATAAGATAAAAAGTCAAGTTTAATTATCTATTGTATGGGAGAAATTGTACATTATCAGTTCTGTAGGGTCTGAAATACAGACTATGCATGTAGTTGTTGGAGTGTGCTGTTCCGAATTCATTATGTATATCCGTTAAGGTGATACTGTTTACTAACGACATTACACAAGCACCATGTATCAGTGTCTCCCAGGTGATATCATTAACTGGGCTAAAAGTATGGGCTTCATAGATCGGAGAATAGTCCTAGTTTGCATACTGACTTTACTTCATGGTACAAGAAACCGGTTATACTGAATTTATTCTAATCTATATATTTAGATGTCGTCAACACAGGTGGCATTGTGTCAGCTGAATTGTTAATAGGTCCGATAGGATTCGATATATTTCGGTTTTTATTTTATATGATACCTCCGTTGGAGTTTAGGGTATACAACTAAACATCGTAAAGTGATTGTCCGGTTTTTTGAGGTAACCGGACTAATGAGGTCTGTACTAGTGAGATGCCAACGTGTTATGCAGGAGTAGTCTGTCTCACTGTCCCTCAGCCACATTATTTCTCCATTATTTCCCTCCCTGCAATGCTGAAGCCTTAAATGAAGCAATTCTAGATTTCCCCAGGTTCTCAATCTCCGATCACTGGGGCTCCTTTTCAATTTAAATGGGTTTATTTGTTACTATCAAAATTTTATATATTCAGAGACTAAGCGTTAGTCGAGCAGGAAGGGGTGGGGTGAAATGAAAACTGTTACATGTATTGCGGGTGGTATGGCTTGACAAAACGTAACATAAAGAGGAGGGGGGTAAAATGCGATGCAGTCCTAGAAGCAATTATGTAAACTAGCCACTGGGATAATCAACTCTACACACATGTAGATATCCCACAAGGCCGATATGTACAGCGTTAGTCTCGCTTCAAGGCAGTCACATTTCACCACACACACCACGGTTTGGTAATCTTGCTTGACTGCACTCACCCCGGCACGACGGAACAGGATACACAACAAACAAGCGGCAATGCTAATGATGGAATCATAAATAAACCAACTACCAACAAAGTCGATCGACCGAGACATAATCAATGACAGACAGCTCGTTTCAACGCATGCGCACTGCTATGTGTGACAATGGGTGCAGAAGGGCGTGACGTCACGGCTATGGAATGTGGTGATACATGCCTCCACTCCCACAGTGCTCAAGCCGGTTTGACTACTCCAGGCGGGATTCCTATTACGTTCTCTGACAAATCTTGCTACCGCGAGCCTCAATGCACGGGGCCCCGAGGGCTCGGCAGATC